TTGGGCTACTTTTATTTCAGAAAAAAAATTAGGGTTCCGCGCAAAAAATTAAACCCATGAAATCCAATCGTAATAAATTACTCGCGGGCGAAGTCGCGCGGAACAGCTAGTAAATAATAATATTAATGACCTACCAGACCGAATTGCGATCTTGGCGGGCAGTCCCAACGGAGACTAGCCATCTGCGCAAGATAGGATTATAGTGCCCGAGTGTATAATGTGGACAGGTCCACTCTATACACTGTCCTAGTCCGATAGGACGGAGAGAGATCTGAAGCAGTACCGACGGCTTTACATGCGATCCGAACCACCGGTGTGAAAAACCGGTAATTTTCTGACTGCGAACTGCTACTCAGAATATTTTGATAGACAAACCCTCGAGAACCTTTTTTCCCCATCGGTTGTCGGTTCTTCGAGCTATATGGCCGGCCCATTGCCACTTCAGCTTACTAATCCGTTGGGCTATGTTGATCACTCTGGTTCTACTGCGGATGTCCTCATTTCTAAGTTTATCATGCTGAGAAACCCCCAGCATAGCCCTGTCCATAGCTCGCTCAGTGACCTTGAACTTCCTCATACTGCCAGCAGTGAAGGACCACGTCTCAGTTCCATAGTTCATCACTGGCAGCACGGACTGGTTGTACAGTCTCGTTTTCTAGTATTGAGGTAAACCTGTAAATACCCCCCATGAATAAAAAAGAATAAATAAAATAAAAGAATGAAAGTCAAGTATAAATTATATATATTCGGAATTAAAACTAATATGTTAAAATTTTTTTGTTTTTAGTTGTTTATAATTATACTGCAATGTTTGTAACGTAATGTTGTAACGGAAAGTTAAATAGTACGGTGTTGCTGATTTTGCTGATCTCTTGTCTACTGAAATTGTTTTTATCTTTTTTATAGTCTATATTAACTAAATCATTTTGCAATATTGCGTATTATGTACTAAGTTCTCCTTCACGTGTATCACTGTTATAATTTATTACTTACTTACTTATACTTATCTTCACGCACAATCCCTGACGGGGCAGCCAGAGAGAACAGATCGCCAAGTGTCACGATCCTTACATACCTCTTTCGCTTCTTTCAGATTTATTATCTTCTTCATACATGCACGTCTAGGTATCCGAGTACTCTTGACCCTACCCTCTTCGAGCAATTTGCTCACATGGCCTTCGAAAGTTAGTCTCGGTCTACCTCGACACCTTTTAATATTTACTTTCGCGCTATATATTTTCTTCACCATTCGGTCTTCACTCATTCGCTCAACGTGCCCAAACCTATTTAATAATTTATCCTATAAATTATCTGAGGCTGGTGGTGTAGGCTTAAAACACAAAATTAAATTTTAGGATTAAGATCATTTATTAACCTTCTGTAAATTTGTTTGCTGGTCCTTAAATAAAATAAAAAGAAACATTTACAGCAACTGACTCCGACTGATCCACCTCGTGAGTATATGTTATGGCAGAGTCAATCATTTTGATAGATACATTGTTTATAAAAACGTGATGAGGATATCCGGGCCGAAAAAGCCGAAGAGCCGCGGTAACCTCTAAGCGCTCGCTGTAAAATTCACAGTACGATGAAATTGTTAATTGCTATTTTAAGTCCTGAGTTCGATGGTGAAGAAAAATAAAGCACGGAAACCTGCATATCCATATCATTATATAACATAAAAAATATTTTGTAGTAATGTGACGTCCGCTGACACGCATTGTTTCAGCGCGTTGGACAATACTTGCTCTAATAACCTAAGAAATGGGAGGAGGCCTGTGCCCAGAAGTGGGTTGTATGTAGGCTGTAACTTAAGGATACTGTTCTTGTTTGACTGTTATCTCCTTTGGTAATGACACTAGATCAAATGTTCTTTTATGATACTATCTACGACTACTACCGCTATGTTTCTATGGATTGTTTTTTCCATAATTTAATTATTTAGAGTAGTTAATTGCCGACTGCTAAATAAGCCTTATATTGGCCATTAGCAATTTCGGTCACATAAGAATTCCGGTCCTTTAAACTGAAGTCTAGAGATTTCCAGAAGCCCCGAGACTACGTGATGTTTATTACAGAAGGGGGGGATTGACAGTGACAAAAACCAGTGAAAATCATCATCGTCATCATCATTATAGCCCTTCACAAGTCCACAGGCCATTGAACATAGGCCACCCCCAAGGAACGCCATAAATGGAATGGAAATAACTAAATGTAATTGATAATCAATTTTGTTTTATTAATTAATTGTCATCGTGCAAAATCACAAAAAATAATCACTTTTGTAGTAAGGTTAAGTTGCTACTACACTAATCAAGTTAAGATTAGCTACAAAATGAAATTTTTGTTATGACACTTTTTTTTTGCGCCCAGAAGCAATTGAAAAGGGCTACCCCCGGAATGCGAGGAAGGAGGTGGAGAATGCTCTAAGCATACCACGACAGCCGGCTGTCGTGGTTATGTGGGACTCACTGCTACTAACCTAACCTAACCTAAGTACCTACCCACTAAATACCACCTGTGAGACTGGCATTGGCTTATGAGGCCTTTCTGCCGAATCGGAAGTGACCCTCTTTTGGGAAAACGGGGCACAGGCGGTGACGAGCCGCTGAGGGGGAGCCTAACTAAGGCAAATTAAGAAGAGTCGGCCTGAGCCGCCAGGAGGCAGTTCAGGTCAGCCGAAAGCTTGTTTGGCGGGTCCCAGAGAGAGTTTCTCGGTCTTTGGACTCGATAGCGAGAGGGGAGCCGCAGCCCCACGCATAGGAAGCTGCCTCACGAATAAAGTGCTTAGAGTGAGACTCTGAGGCTTAGAAAAAGTTCTCAGAGAGTGTTTTCAGAAATTGCTGGATTGTGGGGAGCTCTAAGTCTCGATGGAGGTCGGCGTTACAGACGTACCAGGGTGCGTTCGTAGTTCGACGACAGAATAGGTTTTGAACTATTTGGAGTTCGTTAATGGTTTTGCGATTAGCGGGGGCAAATATGGGGCCCGCGTAAGTCATGACTGGTCGTATACAGACCTTATAAAGGGTTCGCTTGATGTTATGACTCAAGTACGGTTATAACTTATAGTAATAGTAACTTTTTTTTTAAAGGAGAGGGGCCAAACGAGCATGCGGCTCACCTGATGGTAAGTGACTACCGCTGCTGTAGAACAACTGCAACACGAGGGGAACCAGGAGAATTGCAGATGCGTTATAATAGATTTTAAATTTTAATATCGAGTTTTAATACAAATAAGGTTAATGAAGAATAAAAAAGTGGAAGTTCTCAATGTACTTTTATGTATATTACGCGATATATTTCCTTTAATTGTAAACCGATTTTAATTGTTCTAAATTATTAAATAGGTTTTATTTCGGGGTAGTGCCATATAAATTTAAAGAATAAAATCCCTTCCAAATCTTCTAAGGGTGAAAAAATAAGGGATGAAGTTAATATAATGAAATTATTCTGATTACGTTATTACGATGATGAAGTTATTTAGACGGCATTCTGGTTATTACCTTGATCTTGTGATATTCCGTGGTCTGAGTAAAGGGTCAATAATTAAAATTTTAATAAAATATAAAAACAAACTTCATAGAACTAAAAATAATAAATAATTTTTCATATAATTTATTCTTTATGTTTGGGTTTTAATTCTTTGACAGATTAGTCCTTTGAATGTAGCTTTTACATTTTAGTACAAACTTCATTTTATCGTAGAGATGAACAAGATACCTACTAACTGTACTGTACGTGGTACAGCCACGCTGCAGCCATGTGTCGGCTCGACAGGGACGGATCACGTTCTCATATTCATCGTTCACGTTCAACTTAATTGTGGCTGTAGTACGAATAAGTCAACGCATTAAAGTATTTATATAATATATTATATTATTATATAATAGCTTGCTTATAAATACGTTAAGGTCCACGCGTTCTGAGAAGGACCACGCTCTTTCAGAATACTGAAATGCGTGAAATAGTAGCATGTAGTGTTAGAGAATCGGAATCTCTTTTTACTGGTAACAAGGTATCATTATATAATACCATCGTAAAATAGCGGTTTAATGCTGCTGTGTTTCGTAGGGTGAGTGTAGAAACCGGAGACCCTTCTTGAAGTAAACGTGGCATTCCATCTTTGTCCTCAGGGGTGACAACGCATTTGTATTTTTATTCTTAATCGAGGAGAAATGTAGGTGTCTATGGGCCGCAGCAGTCCATCAGGCGGACTGTGTGCCCGTTTGTCACCCTTATTCTATAAAAAAAGATTGCCCCATGCAAAAGCACTAACACCCTGCTCTAACATAATCTAATCTTACATAAAAGTGTAACTATTAACATAAAAACATTTTGTTTACCAGATACACAAAAAGAAACTAAATAATACTATATCAGATGCACAGTTATTAGGTAATTGTGGGACTGATATTATTCCCAAATATACCTAATAACTTGATGTTATTATAGGAGGAGGTATAATATCGGAAATATCTTCAGAGTAATTAATTAATTTAATATTATTTTTGTTTTCTACTTGGATAATATGTGACAAACGAAATGTGAACTTGTTACAAAAATATTCGCAAAACATCCGTTCTTCTTCAACAGTAGTAGGAATAATAGTTATCGAATACTTTTATCAAAGACAAAGATATTTTCCTTCGTTTTCTCGACTTTAACGTAAAGCTCTTTCCATTTATATTGTCATTTGAAGGTCACCGGGAACGTCTTTAATTATTTTTAATCATAGAAAATCTCGGTCTCTGTATCGACTTCAATAGGTCTCTCCGTTCTCACTGATAATTGGCCTAACCTCAGAAAATATCTTAAAAATCTTCTACATTAAATCTTGTTTAGAAATTAACAGCTCACACAACCTACCCAAAAGGGATATCAATTAAAATAAAATATATATTTTTAGCATTAAAGAAAATGTAAATCTGATTATTTTTTCTTAATTTCAGGAACTAAAAAATAGCCACAAACGGCAGAAAATGAGACTCTAAAAAGTGATTATGATTGAAATAAGTGATATTTCTATTGAAAACCATGAATCGACTACATTTTCTTTGGACTTTCAATTGAATTATACTAATTTTACCCAAGCATTTCAAAATAATTCTATAAGATCTAATACAAAATGGATAGACTACAGTACAATTTGTTCACCACAAGCATCTTCAGAAGATTTTTTGTCATCTCCAGTGTTTCAAGTTTGCGTTTATTTCATGTACACTATAGTGTTTGTTGTCGCACTGTTAGGAAATGGACTAGTATGTTTTGTGGTACAAAATTCACCTCGAATGAAAACAGTGACTAATTATTTCATAATGAATTTGGCAGTAGGAGACATTTTGATGACGATATTTTGCGTTCCATTTTCATTTGTATCAATGCTAATACTACGTTATTGGCCATTTGGAACTATAATGTGTAAAGTGGTGAATTATTCACAAGCAGTTTCGGTTTTCGTTAGTGCGTACACACATTTGGCAATATCAATAGACAGATACATGGCTATAATAAGACCACTGCGTCCTCGGCTTGGAAAATCGAGTGCTAAATTGGTCGTTGCTGCTGTATGGTGTGGTGCTCTAGCCACAGCTGGTCCTATACCAGTCGTGTCAGAAATTCAAAGACCAACTGACTGGCATCAATTATGTAAAGCGTAAGTTATTTTTAAATTAAAGTAATTTTTTTGTAAAAATGCTAAAGCGCAATGTGCACAATGTGAGATGAACCACAGTGGTGACTTTATTGAGGCACTTTGATAGACAGAGTTGTCTCACGATCAAGACAGTTTTTTTGTAATCTATTGTTGGTACACAGGCCCTATTTTTGGTAGTGGACTAGCGATGTCGTGTAATGATACGGTTTTTTTTATTCTACTCCCTGCTTATTATAATATTTGTGTATGTGTGTTTGTAGTGATATTAACAGCAGTGTCAGCAATTAAATATATAAAGTGTAGTGTATATAAAGTGTAGCATATTTAATTTAATGGATGTAGTAAGAAAAGATCAAGTGAAAAATAACAGCATTTTGTCGTATTTTTGAGTTAATTGCTCGGTTTCGAAATAAAAAAACCTTTTTTTGCAATACTGTATCGTAGGTTTGATTTCCGTAAATAACTACTTTGTATATGCCGTAAATGCTACAAGTTTATGGATGTAAAAGATCTCTACGATACACAAACATTTCTTGTACATTCCTAGAATGGTGCGGTGAGGTTTTAAATAAATATGGTTAACCTCTACAGGCTGATGATGAAGATAATTATGATGAAAAGTGAATGCTAGTCGCAAGTGTATGGAATGGGAATTTTAATTGAAAATATATTTTAATTACTGTTAGTATTATCTTTATACCTAAGTTAATAAATTTCCAGTGTAAAGTCCTTATTTGGTCATAAACAAAACATCAATGAGAACATACCATACTTTGCAGGGACATATGCCTCGAGCATTGGAGCAGTCCAAATCAAAGTCATCAGTATACTTGTGCATTGATGATATTGCAGTTCTTGTTACCATTAACAGCACTAGTATGCACGTACGCTCGCATTGCTCACGTAGTGTGGGGTGGAAGACCTCCGGGTGAAGCACTTTCTGAACGAGATTCACGTATGCAACACTCAAAAAGAAAGGTTTGCTTTATTATATATTAACGATACTTTTATTTGCCTCAGACAGACAAAAGTATTATATTGATCTGAGGTTCTTGCCTTTGTTTTAGAACTTTAGCTTTTAAGATAACTACAAAACTAAGTGACCTCCAATGACGCAGGCATAATTTCTGTATAGCATCAGTGTGCCTAGTGCCAGTTTTTTTACGTGTTCGATCCCGAGAACCTTAATAGAATATTAAGTATATAATATAATATAATATTAAGTATAATTAAATTAGAATATTACCTTATGGAATAGAATCAGCGCCAACTAGTGGCAATAATCGAAATCACCATCGAGCATTGACTCGCATTCGACAGTGAGAATGTTAACGCACGTGACTGGTTGGAGCGGCAATTTCGATCGTTCGAGACGTAAAACTTTACCCCGTCGATATATGTATCGAAAAAGTTTTCACCTAAATTTTTACAGTGAGATAGAAGGGTGAGAATAATTGTTGAAGAGTTAATTTTATTTCGATTTGTGAGAACAATATATAATTTAGGCAGGACATTTTTTTTTCATTAGGAGGATGTTTGCAGCCACAAATCATTAATAACTAGTAATAATAAATGACTGCTATTATAACGCCAGTGTTGAATCAAGAGCTTTTAGTCCATTGTTACGCCCATAGAATTATTTATTACCCAGTAGAAACGCAGTCTAGTACAAAAGACGAGCGTTAAAGTGACGCAAGGTCATTATGTTAGTGGGCGCTAGTCGAATGTGCCTACGCTCGACACACGCACACATAGACGCTATTCAGTGATACCAGTTTCTGGCGTTTGCAATCAAATTGTGCAAATCACTCTTTTACTGATTAATTTAAAATAATGAATATAATAAAGATTACGTATTACTTACGAAAATGTATTTTATGAGAATATAAATTGGAATAAAATAAACTCGATAATTATGGTACTAACATAACTTTATTGTACATATTTTAATGGTTCAAAAATGCATCATACCATATAAATCGTAGTTAACTTTCTCGGGATCGAATACGTAAAAACAAAAACTCGCACTAGACACATAGACCTCGGCCAACACTGTTGGTACACAAGCGTTTACGCACACATGCGTACTTATTACGTTCAGAAACAAGAATATGCAATTTAAAAAAAATCTGTTGACTGGTATAAAAAATTGAAACACTATTACGTTAATGTGTTGCTTGTAGAATAATCTGACAAAAAATGAGTGTGATTGCATGTATATTAGTATGGTTTTTAATCGTTAACAGAGGTTTTTAAAGGTAGATATCTTTGTGATTTTTTCTATTGTATCAAATTAGTAGTATTATGTTTTCAAATTTCAACACACTATCTAACAAGCATATATTCTGAAAAATATCATATTTTTTTCTGATTTTGTGTACTGCAGTGGATCGTATGCATTAAGACATTATAAAACTTGCGTTAAATTACTGTAGTTCCCTTAAAACTAATGTTATGTTACAGATGATTAAGATGATGGTGACAGTTGTCTCCGTTTTCACAATTTGTTGGCTACCTCTAAATATTTTCATTGTAAGTATAATAAAAGAATTAATTAAACACACTATAAAATTTAACACATTATAAAAAAAAACGTTTAATAACGTTTCAAAAATGAATGAATCTGAAAGAAGCGAAAGAGGTATGTAAGGATCGTGACACTTTGCGATCTGTTCTCTTTGGCTACCCCGTCAGGGATTGTGCGTGAAGATAAGTAATAACGTTTCAACATATTTGATAAAGTAAAAATTTATTTTATAAAAGCATGAATATAATAACTTAAAATATTATATTTGTGTTTATGGTGCCGTGTGGTAGTGAGCAAAGAGTATCCCATTTCATCCCGTGGGTGTCATAAAAGGTAACTATGGGATGTGATAGACAGATCTTATAGCTTCCAATAAATGGCGGTATAATTATCTCGTTTACGCCAGGCGTAAAATATCTACATAGACTGACGACAGACAGTAGTGTCTAAGGTGCATACCAGACGCGTGACGATCCTTCTTAAGCCGCGTATCCACCAAAAATGTTGACAACAGTTATGTTTCCAACTGTTTCCAACAAGCGTCTCCACCGAGGGAACAAATGTTTGCAACAAGCGTATTCCTTTAATGTTGCCGCCGAAAATGGAAACACGGTTCCCGACATTGTTTCAAGTTTTGTTTCCAACTGTTGTGATGGCAACAAAACTGGTGGAGACGCGGCTTTACAGCGGGCAGGTCCATATCCAGTGGTGGACTTTTAGGAGGCCGATAAAGAAGACTTTTACATGTTATTTGCTTAAGTTTTTTATTATGTATGCGATTTTTGAAACTAGAGGGTTGCGTATTTTTTTTTGTCTAAGAGTCCATATAGGTAGAATACCTCTCTTATCTATTTTATGCCGTAGTTAACTCACTATCGTGTATTAATTTAACAGTTATGCAAAGCTTATATAATAACCTACGGCCTTCTTTGCCCAAAAACGGCTGCAAGTGTTTATGGGCAGTCGCCACTTCTTCTTTCCTCCATCAGGAACTAAAATTCGTTTTGTTATAAAATTATTATATACTTCCTCGATTTTTTACCCTAACTTTACAAGATAGTAATTGTCTGACCATCATTTCTTTTCTCATTTCTCCTTGATTGTTAAAGTGCATTGTGGAGTAGATTGTAAACAAAATTGCTGTGATTGCTTTACACAGTGGTTAAGGACGCATCGGATAGTATAAGGACGCTGGACGCTTAAAGCTAAACATCAGCCGGGTTAGCCGTTTATATATCGCGTTATTGGTAGATCAATAAAGAATTCATGTGTCGACGACCCTAAAAATATCGAGTCGATCCCGTGCTGTTAGAATCAGAGTGGTAGTAAACTAAATGAGTAAACAAACAAATATTAAATGAAGCATGAAGATTTGCGCTAAGAGGAGCGTATCGAGATATCCTGATCAACAAAACCTGAGGCTAAATACTCATCGTCCATATATTGGTAAGGACCACTCTAAATCAGTCAAGACTAGATCGATCAAACACTTGGTTTTGGATGCACGTTGGTGGAAGACAGAGAAATGTACGATTTACAGATGCTTTTTTACAAAATTACGCAGTGTATATTCACAGCTCTTAAGAAGCCTCGCAACTTATTAGATATATTCAACATGGTCATCATCCTGCATCAATGACATCAATGACACCTCGGTAAAACACCCACAAGCTAAACTTTCGTTAAAGAGTTGTCAAGACTTTGGCCAAAGCTTATTAAAAGACATTCATGGATCCTGTAGTGAAACACTTTTCATAAATGTACTGTGAACAGCAAGTCACTGCTCCCGCTGCAAATTGCGGTCAGTACTAGACTGCGTGGCTAGCTATTGTTACTCAATATTATGAGTTTCTCGAAAACTCTTAGTAGTTATTATTGATTAAATTCCTTGTGGAGACTGAGGAAATCCATAGATTCCTGACCAGAGAGATTAAAGGCCTGTATCAAAGCCAAACGCGACTGCTCTGAATAAAATTCACGCTAATAACTTCGACCCGAATAATCAACCCGTTAACGTTTATATACATCTCTACTGAAAGGGCCAACGAATATTGGTTGACATAGGTTTAGAGTATTGCTTCTTGTTACATAAAGATTGATTTGATACATAAGGCTCAAGCAATTTAGTGTATGTAATTAACTAGTGAAAGCGATGAAGTGTTCTGATTGTAATTTGAACTCAATTTATTTGTCCGTTTTGACACCTCGATGTATAAACTTTTTACACCGCTGGGATATGCCGACGCTAACATCTTATAAAACTTCTCAATATGATTTTAGCACATAGTAACGTATAAACAAACATAGTATATCGGTTATTATCACGAAAAGTACATATACACATAGGTAGAGCCTTGCTGCAGCTGTATTTCTGGTATAGTTGTAACACGAATGGGTCGGCTCGACCGGGGGAGGACCACGCTCTCACAGAATACCAGCGTAAAATAGCAGCTTAATACTGCTGTGTTTCGTATGGTGAGTGTAGAGAACCGGAGACCTTTTTTACTGGAAATGAGGCATTCCATCTTAGTCCTCACGGGTGACAACGCATCTGCATTTTGATTCGTAATCGGGGATAAATGTAGATCTCTATGGGCCAAAGTAACCACTTACCATCAGGTGGACTGTGTACTCGTTTGTCACTCTTATCCTATATAAAAAAAAATAATTACTTGGTGGTAGGATTTCTTTTCTGTCTAGGTGTCCGTCAGAGTAGGTACCACCCAATTACCTTTTTCTGAAACCAAATAGCAATTTTTTTTATAGGATGAGGGTGACAAACGAGCACACTGTCCACCTGATGGTAAGTGGTTGCTGTGGCCCATTGACATCTACATCTATCCTCGATTACGTATCAAAATGCTGATGCGTTTTCACCCATGAGAACTAAGATGGAATGCCACGTTTCCAGTAAAAAGTGTCTCCGGTTTTCCACACTCACCATACGAAACACAGCAGCGTTAAGCTGCTATTTTACGCTGGTATTCTGTGAGAGCGTGGTCCTTCCCCGGTCGAGCCGACCCATTCGTGCTACAACTATACTACTAATACAGCTGTAGCATGGCTCTATCACGGTGAAATAAATTTGCATTGAGCGCCTACTCTACTTCGTGTTCTGGTTTGAAGGGTACAGGGAACCAGCATAATAACAAGCCGTGAGGAATTTCATCTTAGTACTCAGAGACGACATCGCATCTGTTGCCTTCTTTATTTGATGTTGTTGTTGGTGTCATGTTGTCATTCGGGGAAATTACACCGTACGCGAATTATATAATATCGAATGATTTTCATATGTGAATAGTATTGTTAATAGTGTCTTGTATTGTAGGTATTATGGACGATCCACGAAAAGGACGAAGGGTGGGCTACCTGGCCGGGAATGCCTTATGTTTGGTTTGCAAGTCATTGGCTGGCGATGTCCCATTCCTGTTATAATCCTATTATTTATTGTTATATGAACGCCAAGTATAAGCGTGGTTATAAACAGGTAAAAGTTACCTTTAAATACATTTTTATTATCAGTTTTATATAATGTTATAATATTTTAATAATTATCCGTTATTTATAGGCGTTAAGCTGTCTACTATGTAGTACACAAGAGCCTCCTACTCGCTTTGGCCATCGTTCTAGCGTCTGTGAAGGCATGCCTCTATCAGGTAATCTACTTTGATTGTGTGGTGGCACAGTAAGATGATGAATCACGCCATTTTGTCTCATGGGCGGCGTAAGAAGCGACTACGGGAGGGGTCCGAATGTTTATACCGTCATTATGCCATAGATAACGGTATTATCATTTCGTTTACGTCACACGTAAAATTATCCAGAAACGTAATGACGTAGCGTATACGTGCGTGACGTGTGCTACGATTATGGAAAATTCTTCCTACAATGATGAGACGAAGCACTCTGCTTCTACGAATTAGTACAATCGGCAGCTTATCCTGCTTTTGAAAACATTTTTATTCGATTTATTTTAAAATGGAATTATGTCCTAGTTTTAAACAGTAATAGTATTTTAATGTTATTCGTATTTAACTATATTCTCATACGGCGTTAAAAGCTACGGAAAGTAATAAAGATCGTAAATTACATAATGCACTTTTTTATAGAAATATGGAATAGAAAGATAGAAATAGAATTAAGTGAAATGCTATGGGTCGTAGCCATCTGATCTATTATCACTAATTATGACTAAGATGGAATGCCTCGCTACCAGTAAAAACGGTCTCCGGTTCTTGTAACTCAACATACGAAATACAGCAACAATATTATTTTACGCTGGTATTCTGCGAGCAAGCGAACTTGGGTCTTACCGATTGAGTCGACCCATGATACATACAGTATACAAAACATAAGTGCTTTACTATACCTATATTATATTTGGGAGGATAAATAATAAACAAATTACCCACGATTTTTGAATCTTAATTTCACAAAAAACACAGTGTAGTAAAAGGAAACAATAGAAATATCGCTTCCCCCACAAATTCACTACTAAACATATGTTTCCCAAGGATTGCTACAAAAGGAGGTCTCTGGATGCAAGTGGCATAGCACCATAACATTGTTTTCGATCTTATTACATAGTGCTACATAGAGTACCTAATTATAATAAATCGAAAATCATCCCGAAGTTAAACTACGTGATAATTATAATAATATTTATCTTTTGATGTCTTACATTTCCGCGGACACTACACATTAAATAAAAACTACTTTTATGGATCAAAGTATAAAAGTATCAAAGTATACTGGGTTAACATTGATATTAAAACGTCAAAGATTTCGGTCCGCACCGTGACGATGGGAGCCGCAAACCATTTGAAATGTCGGGAGCAAAAACAAGTAAAATAAACGCGATAAAATCCGTAAAAGTAGTGAAGTACTTAATATAATATATTTCCGTAACGCCTGATTTTATTAATTAGCAGTAATCCTATATTAAGGAGGATATGGTAATATTATATTCCAGTATCACTGAAGGATTTGGGGTACACATATTTGGTTCAATTTTTCGTCCTCAGTATTTATTTTTATTTATTTATTTATTTGCTTTTTAGTATGTATGTTACAAAAGATATTGTTAAATACTATGTATACATACTGAGTCCCTAATGGAGACATGCAAATTTATGTCGTCAGAAACTTGTTTGCTAGTTATCATAGTACATTGCGTTCAGTTGAAGTTTGCACTTGGCATACGCATTACTTCTACATTCCGTATTATTATTAATAGGTATTTTAATTTTTAGAAATTGGAGGGGCAAATGGAATAATGCATCGAGGTACTTCAAGCAGCTGCGTGAGTCGCTTACATAGGGCACCCACCTGTACATCGTGTGCCTCCACGCGACGAGGCCAAGCCAACGTGGGCAGTGCGAGTAATAATCTGTTTCTACGTAATTCGAATAGTGCCAAGCGTTTAATGGAATGTCCTGCTGGAACACTCGGCGTAAACCCGCCGGTGCGTGCTATATCTGTGCGAACTCATTTCAATTAGTTGTGTGGACATAGTATGTGCTGATATAACAACGGACTTTCAAATGTGTGTGTGTTTTTTCTAAATAAGTTATATTAAGAGTTTTGAATCGTGTTAACGAATAAAGTTTATGGCAACGAATCATAATATCTTATATTATTTCTTCTTTTCTTTAAGCCCATCATACTTGATACATTTTGTTGTTTAATTGAATCTGGCATATTATACGAAATACGCTGCGTAGTGGTATAGAAGATAAAAAGAGAATCCACTAACCCATATCATCACATGGGTGTCGTAAGAGAAAAAATAGAATTGTAAAAAACCAGAGGTGACGGAAGGAAATTGAAACTGAGATAGGCAACAATATTTTCCTAATAGCAACACTAATAATAATAAAAACCTGCGGACGAGAACCCACCCAAGCATGGCAACTATGGCAAACATTCCTACTATGACGTAAACTACAGTGAAGGCCATATTATATTATATATATTCAGAGGTGGACTTATAATAGGCTGTAATTAATAAATTAAAATATACAATGTATAAATTGTGTTGTGCTTTGTAAACCAAATAAAGAGAAAAAAAATGGTTATAACTTCACATGTCGGAAGCAGGCAGTAAAATATTCAGGCATTGTAGCGGGGTATGAAAATGCATTATCCCATTGTCCCTTGGGCTTCATAAGAGGCGAGTATGTGTTCAGAAATAATCTAATGTTTCTGCCGTATTTGGGTGTTTCCCATGGAAATGGATAATGCCAGAAAAATCTTCTGGTTACCAATAGATGGTGGCCAAACCAAACAACTTCTGGACGACATACGCCATATACGTATACCTTCATATGACTCAGGGGCCTCGCGCACCGATGAACGCTCTTCAATGACACTATATCCTAATTACTACGTTCGAAGACAAAATCGGTAGCTCGTATTGCCGTGCAACGAAACTAATTTGGTCGATACATAGTAGCCAGGTGCTTTAAACTTGAATATTGTGACACGTTAAAAGGTAAGTGGTGAAAATATAATAATACAAACGAAATGTAGCAGTGGGAAAGAAATAACCAGTACATGTACCTATATATTTATCCTAACGGTGTAGAGCCCTACTGCAGCTATGATTGTAGCACGAATGGGTCGGCTCGGGGAAGGACCACGCTCTCACAGATTACCAGCATAAAATAAATTCTGCTAAGTTTCGTATGGTGAGTGTAGAGAAGCGGAAACCCTTTTTACTGGATACGAGGCATTCCATCTTGGTCATCACGGGTGATCGCACGCATGTGCATTTTGATTCTTAATTGAGGATAGATATAGATATCTAGGGGTCATAGCATCCACTTACCATCTGGTGGGCTGTGTGCTCGCTTGTCACGCTTATTCTAGAAAAAAATAATATTCAAAATTGATTAGCTTAAGGACAATAAGTGGAGACTTAATTAGTTTAATTTTTACACCTTAATTATTGTTTATTATATTTAAGTGAAATAAAATAAACAATAATTATATTGTTTGGTTTGGCCACCACCTATTGGTAACGATAAGATATTTTTGGCTTTTTCCATTTACACTAAGTTCTTTAAAATTAAAATAAAACTACATTTAGAAACTAATTTATCGTTTTACTACATACATAACGATGTCAAGCACCCAATTTCATACATCTCCTTTGTGCCTCATAAAGTGCGTTGATGCATGCTTGATGAAAGATTTGATTTTCAAAAGGCAAGTGATTTCAATTGGGTGCTCACCTTAATTAAAAAAGCTTTCGCTTCTGAAAAACTCAGCAATTGGTTCAAATAAATCAAGGAATTTAGTTTGTTTCAGAGAAGTATTTGATTACTGTCACCAATACTTTAAATGTGGTAACATCTGTACTTTTATCAATTTCGGATCGGAACCTAAAATCTTATAAGTTATAGCGGCTGCTTTGATGCTCTTGCAGGAAACTTCTCTAGGGATGTTGTGTTCTGAAAGAAAACTGCATCAACGCAGCTCAGCTTTCTTGACTTCAGCTTTCAGTGGTATATTTAAAAAAAATGGATAAATATTTAAAAAAAAACCAGGAAACTAAATAATTTGTTAGCAAAATAAGGAAACGCTACATGAAAATAGTTCTGTTTTATAACAGCATGTAGTTAGAATATGCACAGTAATACCAAACAAACATCATTGCTTGAGAAACAAGTGTCAAAACCAGGATCATTCTTTCATTAAAATGGAAATGTCTTGGAAATTAACTTAAAATTTCTTGACTTTAGGTAATGCTGATTATAAACTATGTAACACATTACGCTTGCCTTTATTTCTGTCCTTTATATTTTTTCAAGTTCGATTTATGCTTTTCAGTAGTTGCATGTTGTTTTATAGATGCTAATCTACTTTGGTGTTTCGCATTGCATGCTTTGTAAAAGGCGGCGAACTTGCCATTTTTATAACGTGAAATTCACAAAGGAAAATCTTTAATTTGTACTTTTCCAAATAACTATGCTGAAAACTAGACATGCTGGATGCGTCAAGTAAATTTAAAACACAGAAAAAACGTATTAGACGATTCGATACTATTTGTAATTCATACACAAAAGGATTTTATGTACCTACTTGCCTATTTATACAACTGAAAACTTAAAATCCAGATCGTTTTAAAAATAATAGATTATCTTTATTATATATAAAAATTACGTGTCATATTGTTTGTCCGCGATGAATTCCTAAATTACTGAACTGATTTCAATGAAAATTGCACACTCTGTGTAGTTTAGTCTAACTTGAGAGATAGGATAGTTTTTATCCTCATAAGTGACACTCAATATTTATTTATTACGAATTTATAGATTTTTTATATGAAGAGTCGTCGAAAATGGCAGAACAAAGTCTGCCTGGTCAGCTAGTTTATTATATAATTTAATAATCCCAATAATCTCCCAATAATATAATTTAATCTCCCATACAAAACTAAGCATATGCTTGTTAAAATACTCTTCTTGCATGTCATTGATTATGCAGATGTTTGTTACTCTGACTTGATCCAAAATCTTCTCAATAAGCTTGAAAGCCTTTTTAATAACTGCATCAGGTTTATTTTCGGGCTTCGAAAATATGAGCATATCTCTCAATTTCGTATTTGCCATAAATGGTTTTCTGAGAAAGGCGCACACAGAATATTGTTTGTTATCTACTCCATTTTAAATGATTTGTCCTCCTCTTCCTACCTTAAAGAAAAATTTCAATACCTTTCCTCCAACCACGACAAGATACTTCGTTCTTCAACTAATTTGAAAATTTCAGTTCTATTCCATTTAACTCACTTTATTGGCAATTCTTTTACTGTTCAGGCTACACTACTCTGGAACTCCTTACCTGAAGACATTAGGAAAGCCCAAACAAGATAGCCTTCAAGAGATTGGTCCGGGAACATCTCTCAAAAACAATTTCGTCTGCATAATATCAACTACCTTTATCCAGACATATTATGTATGTATGCATATATGTATTTATGTATGTGTATATGTATATAATATTAAGGATACTTGTTATATATTGATTATTATGTATTTGTTTGTATTCATTTGCATTTGTGTAATTTATAAGCCTTATTTTAATATGTGTCATATCTATATTTAGTTACTTAAGTCACCTGCCACTAATTGCTCACCACGCCATTTGTTGACCGGCAGAGAATCCTAACTGGCATTAAGTCCGCTCTTTGTAAACTTTTTATTGGTTAGAACAATAAAGTTTTTAAATAAAAAAAATCCTACAACCTCGGCAGCCTTTTAAATAAAACTAATTTTACAGATTTTATCACGTATATTAACTTGTTTTATATTCTCGATGTTTCGAGTGCTTTCCAGCACCCGTGGTCACGGGGGACTGAGGTGTTTGACGTCCTGATGTCATAGTTAGCCCGGCTACCTTCAGTTTTTTAATATTAATTTTTGGTTCGATTTACGCAGAATGAGCTTACAGTATCTTGAAGTCTAGCAGTGGTATACTTGGGTTTGGATTTAATTTTATTAATTATGGGATCCTAAGCAGATGGCAGCACCCATCCATCTTCTCTATTGAAATTAGGATGTTTTTTTTAATTTCAATAGCCTCGCGAATCATCCTTGGTAGGAATCGGTGTTCTTTTGCGAGGATTTGTGGTCTATCAAATCTAATGTAATGGCGGGGACGATCTTGAACATGTTCACAAACTGCAGACTTCCCGATACGTCGGTGCTTCATGTCAGCTATATGTTCTTTAACGCGGGTTTTTATAGATCTTTTTGTTTGCCCTATGTACGAGAGACCACATTCACAATACAGCCTGTACACTCCTGCATCTTGTAAAGGGATATGACACTTGACGGATGACGGATGACTTTGACGGCTCCGTGGCGCAGTGGCTTAGCAATGAGTTTCTGCGCTGTGATGCGCGGGTTCGAATCTCGCACGGAACAAGTATTTGTATGGCCTACAAATAATAGTTCCGGGTCTGGATGTTTGTCCTTGTGCAATTTGTGTTTGTAAACTCCTGCCTCCACGATACAGGAGAAAATCCTAGTGTGAGGGTAACGTTTTTTTTAAAAAACATGGTAAAAATTGACCAATCTTCTTCAGCGGCTTGAAGTATGTTTTAATGGAAACTAGCTTCAAGATGTAGCCAACCTTGTCTGTGACTCCTCTGACATAGGGTAGTACAACAGGCACACGCTCGACTGTGGCTGGCTTCACTCGGTCACTGTGACGTAGGCGCGGGACCCGAAGCTTGTTATCTTGCAGTACTTGCTCAACGTGCTGAAGCTCGACGGCCAGATGTTTTCTGCAGCCTGTCATGTTCTGTAACTTATTGTTCTTTGCTACTAGATAAAATGTAGACTAAATCGGATAAATTCCCTTATCAATGTTCGTGACGTTCGCGATGTCGATCGTTAGGGTGTTACCATGACTTCTTATTCAAAACATACCCAAATAAACTGTCTTCCGGCAACATACCTACAAAATAACTGATGTTTTTAAAAAACGATAAAA